GCTAGTTTTTTTTTTTTTTTTTCCTTTTTGTCTTTTTTCGTGTCCGGCAACGGATCGCAACCCTCAGTGTCGTGCCCGTACCGGACGGGTACCGGCAACGGGATCACAACCCTCGGTGTCGCACCCGCACCTCTCTCAGCCAGTGAGCGGGAACTGGTCTGTATGTGGGATCCGAACCCTCGGCAGGAGCACCGCCACGCTCCCAAGCGGTGCACTGTAGCAGTGCGCCACCGGGCCGGCCCCAAGTGTGTCCTTTGTAAACCTCCACTCTCTCCCTCTGAAGGCTTCGACATGACAGGAAATGGGCCAGAACTGAGTGGAAGCCTCCAGAGTGCTTTGCCGCTCACACCCTGGAGCCTCCCAGAGCGGCTCAGCCAGGCAGCTGCTGCCCCCGCTCACCTCCTCCTCCAAGTACAGCCCTGCTGAGGCTTCTGAGTTCCTGTTAGTGTTGGGTCGAGAAGCCCAGGATCAATCCTGGGCCTCCAAATGGTGGAGCAGATTGCTAGAAACCTCTGTGTTTCCTGCCCTGTTTCATCAACACACCCTGAATGTGCAGCTTCTATCGGCAGCTGAGCAAACGCAGAGCCCCATGTCTCAGATCACGCTCTGATACTGTGCACCCCAGTTACGGGTGCTTTCAGAACCACACTGCTGAGTTTTCAGAATCCCCCTGCATTCAAAATTTGAGTCAAAGTTAATGTAAATTTGGGGCTTCTTTTCTGCATGAAGGGAAAACATCGTAGCCACACATCTGAGTTTTCAGAATCCCCCTGCATTCAAAATTTGAGTCAAAGTTAATGTAAATTTGGGGCTCCCTTTCTGCATGAAGGGAAAACGTCGTAGCCACACAATCCGAGAGTTCCAGGCTCTGAACACAGCAGTCAGCCCCTTTGCTCCTGTTAGGAGACTTTCTGACTTCTGAGGGGTGCAGATGCCTTTCTCCTCATCTGTGCCTCTCTCTGCAGCCACCCAGGCATCAGCTCCCACTTTTCTTGCTGGTTCATCTCATCCTGTGTCTCCTGCCATCTTGTTTATTTCCGTGCCTTGACTGTCACATTCCTGGCCTTTCCTGGAGTGCTGATGCGTGGTCTTGAATCTGCAAATGCATCACAAAATACATTTAGCAAATGAAAAGCCATCCAGAGTTTGCTACCCTGTCACCCTGTTCACCTCCTGTGATTGGGAATCAAATAATTCCTAAATTCGGGGAGCCCAAGCGAGCATTTGAGTTCTAACTTGATTAAACTCTGAGCAGAGGGCTTTCTGGTTCTGTCAGTGTAGCCGTCAGTTTGTTGCTTGCCGGCACATTAAACCTCGCTCTTTTTCTGACTGTACCACAGCCAAACCATTTGGTCGTTATCAGGGAGTGTTTGACAAAAACAGAAACTGGTGAAGGTAGAATAAAGTACTACATTCTCCTAATTTAAAAAGCCAGAGTACTAAAAGCCATGTAGTGAAACCCAGCAGGCTCCCTCCAGCCCTGGCCTCAAGTCCAGAGGGACCTGAGCTGCCAGCCCTGGCCTCAAATCCAGAGGGACCTGAGCTGCCAGCCCAGGGTGAGGGCTGGCCTGAGGGAGTCGTTCTGGAGTCCTCAGCATGTAGATGGCAGATGGCCATGGAACTGATGAGCCCACAGATTGGGCCGTGGGGCACCTGATGAAAACTGGTCAGGAAGAGGAGGAAGAATCAGCAGAAGAGACTGAGCAGGAGCTGCCGGTGAAGGAGGCCCTGGAGGGGGGCGGGGAGGAGTATGGGGGGCTGAAGGTGGGGGAGGGCCGCACCGTGGTTGGAGTGTACCTTTGAGCTCTGGTGATGTCTGCCGGTGCTTTCTACGAGCTTTCCACAGGTGTTGACCCCTCTGATGTTCTCAACAACCCCATGAGTGTAGGTACTGTTTTCCCACTTTGCGGATGAGGAAAGGAAGGCTCAGAGTTAATGAACTTGCCCAGATCATACAGCCAGTTTGTGCGCAGCTGGGAGTGTTTCCTGCCACACGAGACGAGTGGGCATTGAATGTGGCAGCGCAGCAGGATTTAGGGGTCACTGAGTGGACTCCAGGATGTGGGATGTGATCCTGTGACAGAGCATCTTCCCCAGGAGTAGGGCCATGCTTGCATTGGGGGAGGCCCATGGGACTTGGGATGAGTAAGTTTTGTAGGGCGGCCTGAGAACTGGACTGCTGCTCATAATGGCACCTCTGTTCATAAATCGAGCCTGTGCCCAGCAGCCACCAAGAACCACGTCTGCTCTGAGTTGGGTACTGCCTGTTCAGAACAAACACCAGTTTCTAGAATGCAGCCAAATGGCCCCGTTCCTCTGGATTCCTGCCTTCTGCGGCAAGCGGGCCCAGGGAAGCTGGAGTGAAAGGAGCAGGTGGCACTCACTGGCCTGTGGGCAGGAGCTGCACAGAGGAAATGGTATTCTGGACCCAGGGGGCCGGGCACACTGTTCTCTAGGCTGCCTCCCTGCACTGCCAGAGCTGCCAGGGCTCCCGTGCTTCTTGGTGGAATGTTCCTGAGATGACAGACCTTGGGACCTCAGGCTGGCCAGCTGGCTGCTGTCAGCCATCATGTTCTCACCATCATGAACCCAAGCTTTATGCCAGCCAGGCTCCTGGTGGGAGGAAGTGGTGCAGGAACAAGTTGTTCTGGCTGGGGCCCTCACGGCTCTGGATTTGTGGCCTACCTTGGTAGTGAGAGGATTACAGGTCGGGCAG